TATATATATATACTGCAGAACATGGAGAAGTCTTGAATTTAATTTGCATTAGTTGAATCCTATGTATCTCACTTAAATTACTAATACGTCTAGTCATAAACCGATTTCAAATATCAAGAATCTAAGTGTGGTGAAGCTGATTAAATGTAAAAACAGCCTGCCATACTGTGATCACACGCAAAAGATGATCTGCTGTGCTCCCAGAACTGAAGCCAACTGTTAAATTAGCAAGATGGACTTAGGAGCAAGTGAATGTCCACATCTTCTTTTTATCTCTGAAGTTAACAAAGAATAAAAACAAGTTTTTCCTCCAACTCCATTGTGAAAAATACAACTAATGTATGCACAATGTACGGCAGGAGGGAGGGAGAAATTATGAAGATTTATTCCCCGTGACAGCGACACAATATTTCAGCTATTTACGAGAAAATATTGAAACTTGTGTTGTGGTAAATTAGGAAAAAATGGTCAAAATTTACTCCCGTATTTAATACAGCCCCTCAAATTAAAGGGTGGGGTGGGGCTCGTTAGGGTCGGACCGCCCTCCTAGGTAGAATGGTAGGGCAAACTATGCTTTTTTATGGATGGTATAGAGAACTGATATTAATTGGATTGAAGTTTTAAAAAACTGGATACTTAATGTTTTTTTTTTTTTTTTTTTTTTTTTTTTTTTTTGGAAAAGTAAAAATTGTAATAATAGATTCTGTGGAACTGTATTTTTCATCAGAATTTCTTCCAGGCATCGAAGTACATCCCAGACATTTGTGTGATCCGAGCAGTGCAGAAAATTGTGTGGGCGTCAGGCTGTGGCACGGTGCAGCTCGTCTTCAGTTCTAATGAGGAAATCAGCAAGATCTACGAGAAGGTAAAACATCTCATTGTTACCGTTTTTGTACTGAACTCTAACAGTAGTTGGGATGATGGCAGTGAAATTTGTGCATAATATGAGCAAAAAAAAACATCCCTTGGTTAATAAAAAACAAAAACAACAAAAAGGCTCAAAAAGACTGAAGATTCATCAGTTTTTGTTTAAAGAAAAACATTTTACTGTCCAGACAAATGCAGCCAAGGAGCCAGATGGGGAGGATGAGCAGGTGTGCTGCGAGGCCTTGGAAGTGATGACGCTGTGTTTCGCTCTTATGCCCACGGCGCTGGACACGCTCAGTAAGGAGAAGGCCTGGCAGACCTTCATCATAGACTTGCTACTACACTGCCACAGCAAGTAAGCACAACKCTGTCTGCTGAAACATGAATAAAGCTAAATGAAGAACATACTTGTAGTCTTTTAAAGACTGCTGGAATATCATCACACCAATGTTGAACCTCTCTGACAGATCTGTGCGTCAAATGGCCCAGGAGCAGTTTTTCTTGATGGCGACTAGGTGCTGTATGGGACACCGACCCCTTTTGTTCTTCATCACCCTCCTCTTTACAGTGCTCGGGGTGAGATCCTTCAGATTTTATTTCAAAACCAACTTTTATCTCATCTCAGCGGAATGACAAATACCTAGTCCTAATTTTAATCTGTTTTCAGAGCACAGCCAAAGAGCGAGCTAAACATGCCGGGGACTATTTTACTTTGCTGCGACACCTGCTGAACTACGCCTACAATAGTAACATCAACCTGCCCAATGCTGAGGTGCTGCTCAACAATGAGATTGACTGGCTCAAACGAATACGGGTAACACATAATTTTTAATCAGTAAGTTGTAATGTAATTCCTTAAAAAGCTAATTTCCGTGTTTGAACTTCACACATCTTTGTTCACTAGGATGAGGTTAAGAGGACAGGAGAAACTGGTGTGGAGGAGACCATCCTGGAGGGCCACCTTGGGGTCACCAAAGAGCTTCTAGCCTTCCAGACACCAGAAAAAAAATATTACATTGGCTGTGAGAAGGGAGGCGCAAACCTTATTAGGGTAAATAAACACAAGTTTGAAAAACCTATTTATTCTCCAGTTTTATTTTTGTTTTTAATATTCCTTGTTGACATCTGTATTTCTTCTTTATTAGGAGCTGATTGATGACTTCATCTTCCCAGCATCTAATGTTTACCTGCAGTACATGAAGAGTGGGGAGTTCCCTACAGAGCAGGCCATCCCAGTGTGCAGCACGCCTGCCTCCATCAACGCTGGCTTTGAGCTGCTGGTGGCGCTGGCTGTAGGCTGTGTCCGCAACCTCAAGCAGATGGTTGACACTCTGACTGACATGTACTACCTGGGTATGGAGACATTTCTGTCCGGTTCACACGTAAACTAAACTACCATTTGATAAATAATTAAACTCTGAGTATGTTGTGTTTTCCTTTACGTTCCAGGTTGTGAGACATTAACAGAATGGGAGTACTTGCCTCCGGTGGGGCCACGACCCAACAAAGGCTTTGTTGGGTTGAAGAACGCTGGTGCTACCTGTTATATGAACTCCGTCATCCAGCAGCTCTACATGATCCCTCCCATCCGCAATGGCATCTTAGCTATTGAGGGGACGGGCACCGACGTGGATGATGATATGTCAGGGGATGAGAAGCAGGAGAATGAGGTATCAGAAATGATCTTTCAGTCTTTACCTAATAAGGATACTCATCTTTTTCTCAGAATAATGAATGAAATAATAAAATGGTTAACTCGGCGTGCAGACCAGATTTGTAGATGTATTTTCAGAAATAATAAATAGCTGTTTMTCCTGGTTACCTGATTATTGTTGACATTTATTTGTTGACACAAACCAAATCGTAGTCTACGTTCTAGTGACCTCATTAATCTCCTCATACCAAAAGCACATACCGTCTTTGGTCGCTCCTCATTTCAGTTCTCTGCTGCAGATGACTGGAACCATCTGCAACGAACCTTAAAACTGGACTCATTCATTTCAGTATCCACATTTAAAAGTTTGATACGCTCAATAGTAAAAGATCAGTGTACTTGATTTTAGTTTCCTTTTTTATTTTTTGTTTTCCTGGTTTATAATGTTACAGTATGTCTAATTGTACTCTATGCCAGGGGTTCTTAACCTTTTTGACCTCGGGGCCCAATTTGTTGAACATAAAGTGACACGAGTCCCTGTCAGACCAATGTATGGATCAAAATGATAATTATTCTAAATCTTGGTTTAATTTTTATTGTATTTACATCATAACTAAACTATCATAATTAACATAACTAAATAAAATACATATACAGTTTAAAAGTAAAACTCCTGTCAAATAACCACAAGACATGATTATGACAAACACTTTTATATTGTAACCTGCCCGTAACAATTATTTGAACAAATACAAAGGTCAGTCAACAGACCACTCAGACTTATCAGCACAAAAATATATATTTTTAATATAAACAACAAAAATAGACAAGTCAAAAAATAAAATTGTGTGCATAAAATAAATAAATTAAAAATGATTAATAAATGTTTAAAAAAATGTAAAAATAAATTTGATAAAGTACAAATGAAAATATAGCCTTTTAAAACTTTTGCAACCAGAAGCTGCTCTTCATATTAGTGACAAACAATAACAGTAACAACGGCTTTTTGACAAGTTTAAAATTTCTTTATAATACATTAAAATATTCAAAAATGAACTACAAAAAATAATTTGATAAAGTGTAAATTAAAATATAGTTGAATCTGCAACGGTATTTGATAATGTTTTGAACTTTTAAAATTTTGCATGGTAGAACCAGAAGCTGCTCTTCATATTAGTGACAAACAATAACAGTAACAACGGCTTTTTGACAAGTTTAAAATTTCTTTATAATACATTCAAAATGTTTACAACATAAACTACAAAAATTAATTTAAAGTGCAAATTAAAATATAGTTGCATCTGCAACTGTATTTGATAATGTTTTGAACTTTTAAAATATTGCATGGTAAAAACAGAAGCTGCTCTTCATATTAGTGACAAACTTTGGTGTTTTTTGATGAGTTATTTACATTTTTGCTTCTACTTTTTATTTAAAAAAGTTTCCATTCTCAGCATATTTCTAAGGTTCTTTTTCTACATATTAAAAACGTTGTTAAACAACTGAGTGGCGCACTACTGCTACTAGTGGTGAGAAAGTGTATTGCACCTTATTTAAAATCAGTGCGGTCCRYCGGCCCTCTGCGGCCCAAAGTTAAAAACTGTTGTTCTTTTGAGGCCCTCAAGGTCGCGTGGGCCGCGGCCCATAGGTTAAGAATCTCTGCTCTATACCGTCTGTGTCGTGTCTTTGTTTTAACATTGTTCTGACTTTTTGTGTTGTGCTGCTGCCTTTTGACCWGGTCGTCATTGTAAATGAGAATTGGTTCTCAACTGACTTACCTGTTAAAATAAAGATTCTATATTTGTTAAAACCTAAATATTTTTGTCTTCACAGAGTAACGTAGATCCCCGGGATGAAGTTTTCTGCTACCACCACCAGTTTGATGACAAGCCGTCCAGTAAGTCGGAGGACAGGAAGGAGTACAACATCGGTGTGCTGCGTCACCTACAAGTCATCTTTGGCCACCTGGCTGCATCCAGGCTGCAGTACTACGTCCCAAGAGGATTCTGGAAACAGTTCAGGTATTTAGACTTTGATTGGGTCTACATTGAGATCCTTGAGCAGTTACTGATCTCCTGTCAAATCTTTTCTTTTTTAGACTGTGGGGCGAGCCAGTAAATCTGAGGGAACAGCATGATGCTTTGGAGTTTTTCAACTCCTTGGTGGACAGTTTGGACGAAGCTCTCAAAGCTCTGGGTCACCCTCCCATGCTCAGCAAGGTGCTGGGAGGGTCTTTTGCTGACCAAAAGATCTGTCAAGGATGCCCCCACAGGTGGGCATTGTTTCTTTTTTTGATAATTTGTTACAAATTTATATGTAGAAGAGTTATTTGTGACTAATGAGTTTGTTTTCAGGTATGAGTGTGAGGAATCATTCACAACACTCAACGTAGACATCAGGAACCACCAAAACCTGTTGGACTCCATGGAGCAGTATGTTAAAGGAGATCTGCTGGAAGGAGCAAACGCCTACCACTGTGAGAAATGTAACAAGAAGGTGAGACTCAAAAACGTTTTTTTTTTTTTTTGAACAATTAAAAAAAACAATAATAAAATAGTAAAATAAAACATACATGTAACAAATACAGGAGAAAAACACAACAACAAATAAAATAATTAAGCATTAATTACAACATAAAATTTCCAGTAAAATATATCGTAAAACATAGCTCATGTTCGAAAAGGGAACAGGAAGAAGCAATAGCTTATCTAGTCCTGTCCTCAAGCCTTCATACAAATTCTTAAACCAGTTACAATTTACTCTATCATACACAGATCAGAACTTAATAAACATTAACACACAATTTAGAATTAACAAAGCATTTTATCACATTCATTTTTGTAAACATTATTTATATACTCCTTTATATTTTCTCTTGAATTGTGCAATATTTTTACTTTGCTTAATTTCATCATCTAAACCGCCCCACAAACTGATATGCACAAACTTTTAAGAGTGCTGTGTACACATGGTTGCATTAGATTACCCTTCCTTCTTATTTCATACCTTCCCTCTCTGATTTTAAATAAACTTTGAATATTCTTTGGAAGCATATTGTTTCTAGCTTTAAACATCACCTGTGCAGTTTTAAATTGTACCAAATCCATAAATTTCATAAGTTGTGATTTAAAAAATAGTGTATTTGTGTGTTCCCGATACCAAACATTGTGTATCATTCTTAATGCTCTTTTTTGTAGTGTACATATTTTTTGTAAAGAACTTTTTTATGTGTTACCCCAGACTTCAACACAATACTCTAAATAAATACAATACAATACAGTAAATAGTGTGCATAGTTTTGTTGTTTAAAATATGCCTAGTTCTTCCTAATATCCCTATAGTTTTTGACATTTTGTTACACACGTTTGATATGGTGTTTCCAACATAACTTGTGATCCGAAATTACACCTAGAAACATATGTTCAAAAWCTTGTTCAATTTTTACATTATTAATTTCCAGCCTTACAGTTGTATTAATTTCACTATTTCCAAATAACGTAAATTTTGTCTTACTTTAAAGATAATTTATTTCTATCAAACCAACATTTAAGTTTTATCAGTTTCATTTCCAACAACTTCCAAAAGTTGTTTTAAATCATTCCCAGAACTAAAAACAGTTGTATCATCTGCAAATACAACAAAATGTAATACCTTTGTCATTCTACATACGTTTATCATTAATATACATTATAAACAATTTGGGACCCAGAACGGAGCCTTGTGGAACACCARATGTAATATTCAAGCATGAAGATTTATACTGACCAATTTGTACATATTGCTGTCTATCAAGATAACATTTTAGCCAGTTATTTGCTGCTCCTCTCACTCCATATCCTTCCATTTTATGTATTAGTAATTATGATCAATCGTATCAAATGCCTTTTTTTTAGGTCAATAAAAATTCCCTCTGCAAAGTTTCTATTTTGTATGTATTTTGTTATATGTTCCACTAACTCTATCATTGTCAGTGATGTTGATCTGACTGATCTAAAGCCATACTGACTTTCCATTAAAATAGTTTTAAAACTTGATTTAATCTCTCCTTTTTTTAAACTTGTAGAAGATAGAAATGAGCCAAACTTGATCTGTAATGTTTATCTTCATTAGGTGGACACAGTGAAGCGTCTTCTGATCAAGAAACTACCACCCGTCCTTGCTATCCAGCTGAAACGCTTCGACTACGACTGGGAGAGGGAGTGTGCCATTAAGTTTAACGACTACTTCGAGTTCCCCAGGGAGCTGGACATGGAGCCGTACACAGTAGCAGGTGTGGCGAAGCTGGAGGGCGATGATGTGAACCCAGAGAACCAGGTGATCCAGCAGAACGAGCTGTCTGAGGCCACAGCGCCAGGCAGCTCCAAGTATCGTCTGGTGGGAGTGCTGGTTCACTCAGGCCAGGCCAGCGGCGGACACTACTACTCCTACATAATCCAGAGGAACGGAGGCGACGGCGAGAAGAACCGCTGGTACAAGTTTGATGACGGCGACGTGACGGAGTGCAAGATGGATGATGAGGAGGAGATGAAGAACCAGTGCTTTGGAGGAGAGTACATGGGTGAGGTGTTTGATCATATGATGAAGAGGATGTCGTATCGGAGGCAGAAGCGCTGGTGGAATGCTTACATCCTGTTCTATGAGCGCATGGACTCACTGGACAAGGACAGCGAACTTGTCAAATATATCTCGGAGCTGTCCTTATCCTCCACCAAGCCGCATCAAGTCAAGATGCCCAGCGTCATCGAATGCAGCGTCCGCAAGCAGAACGTCCAGTTCATGCACAACCGGATGCAATACAGCCTGGAATATTTCCAGTTCATTAAGAAACTTCTGACCTGTAACAGTGTCTATTTAAATCCTCCTCCAGGTATGCATCTTATCTGTCTGCGGATTAATGCAAAATGACTGTTTTTATACTTAAATTTCTACTTGAACATAACTTAGAAGCTATCAGACGGTTGAGATGTTGTGCTGAAATTACCGTATTTTTCGGACTATAAGCCGCACCTGACTATAAGCTGCACCCCCTACCCCCCATCAGTAAAAACAAAAACAGCTGCACCCCTCATCAATAAAAACAAAAACAAAACAGTACACCCAAAATTGTGGTCAAAAAAGTGAATTCAACATCACATTTATTTTTAAGAAAAAGG